AGGGAGCGCTGGAGGCCGCTGGGCCAGGAGCAGTGTTCTCAGCTGAGGAAGGCAGATGGAGAGCCGGCCCTGTGTTGGGGTCAGAGACTCGGGGAAGCTGGTACAGTGGAGAATAGAGGCAGGACAAAGCCACGAGAGGAATCAGGGTTCCTGTGGACACGAGAAGGGATTGTGAAGGAGGGAAAACAATGGAAGGTAAAAAGACCAGATGGGGAAGGAAGAAGCACAAGGACGTACCGGAATGAGAGTGAAAGAGAGAATAGTTGAGCAAAGGGCTTGACATTTGGGCCAGTGGCTGAGGGAGGAAGGATGGAAGGCTGGTAATAAGCAGGAACAGCTTTGTGGAGTGCAGAGTGGAGGCCCTCACCGGCAGCATCTGCACCCTGTCCCCTTCCAGAGATTGCTGTGTGGCCTTTGATGACACCTCCCCTTGGGTGATTGGAGAAGGGTGTCAACTGACACCCGGTGCTAAACTGCGTGCACAGGGGCCGTGGTGGAATAGAGACCTCCAGCTTCCCGGGGCAGAGCTGCAGGTGCTTGGTGGAAGATATGAACCCTCCCCAGGGAGAAAACCAGGACAAAGCCAAGATAGGGGTCACACCAGAACTGCTACAATGTGAAATCCTCCCTTTGTTACTACTGAGCCCTTCTCTCTACTTACACCCTCCACCTCCACTCCCCATCGGCCCATCTCGGGCATCATCCTGAGGACAGGATGATAGTACTTGTTTTTAACACTTTTACCTGATCACAGAGGGGGGAAAACCCTGGAAATTGGTGACGTGCTTGGTGTGAAACCCCTGGGTCTAAAGGTTATGATCCTTCGACAAAGGAGATTAAGAGCTAGGAAGAGCCCCGTCCACCGTGGCTCAGTTGGTTGGAGTGCCGTCCTGTTCACCAAAAGGTTGTGGGCTCGGTTACTGGTCAGGGCACATACCCAGGATGGACTTTGATCCCCGGCCCAGAAGGCAACCAATTGATGTTTTTCTTTCACATCAAGGTCTCTCTCTCTCTAAAAATCAATAACATTAAGAGAGAGAGAGAGAGAATACATTTGAAATCTAGGTTTTTCTGAATTATAACGTTGACATACAGTAGTCCCCCCTTACCCAAAGTTTTGCTTTTTGTGGTTTCAGTTACTTGTGGCCAACTGCAGTCTGAAGTATTAAATGAAAAATTCGAGAAACAAACTATTCATAACTTTTAAAGTGAGAGTCGTTCTGAGTAGCATGATGAAGTCTCACACAGTCCTGCTCCCTCCGACCTGGGTTGTGAATCATCCTTTGTCCAGTGTCTCTACACTGTACTTACCCCCCACCAGGGAGTCACTGAGCAGCTGTCTTGGTGATCACACTGTCTGTCTTGGTATGGCAGGGCTTGTGTTCAAGTCACCCTTATGTTACTTACTAAAGGCCCCCAAGTGCAAGAGTAGTGATGTTCGCAACTCATATATGCCAAAGAGAAGCTTTAACTGTTTCCTTCAAGTGAAAAGAAGAAAGTCTCAACTTGATAAGAAAAAAAAATCGTATGCTGAAGTTGCTAAGATCTACTGTAAGAATGAATCTTCTGTGAAATTGTGAAGAAGGAAAAGAGAAATGTGCGCTAGTTTTGCTGTCGCACCTCAAACTGCAAAAGTTAGGGCCACAGTGCGTGATAAATGCTCAGTGAAGATGGGAAAGGTATTGCATTTGAGAGTGGGAGACATGAACAAAAAACATGTCCCGATTGACCACATGTGTTTTGCCAGCCAGCATCTAACCTGTAAGAGGACTCCAGCAAGGGATCCTCTGAAATGAGGGACACCACACCACTTACTACAAGTGAGGGATGGTTACACAGACTCAGAATAGGTTTGGACTAAAAAATGTAAAAATTACTGGCGAGTATTGTTTTAATTGTTTTATTTTATTATTAGTTGTTCTTAATCTCATAGTGTGCCTAATTTAGAAATTAAACTTTATCATAGATATGGAGGTTTAAGGAAAACAGTATAGTAAATATAGGGTTCGGTGCTGTGAGTGATTTCAGACATCCACTGGGGGTCTTGGAACACATCCCCACAGATATGGGCGGACAACTATATTTACATACCCTTTTAAACTCAGGTATGGCCTACTTTCTTTCTTTATCTCCCAATATTCATTTCTTCTTTTCTTCCACACCAATAGAATTTTTAGCGGGGTGCATGGCTGCTCAAAATAAAGACTGTGTATCTCAGCCTCCCTTGCAGCTACGTGTGCTTACGTCAGCTGACAGCATGTAAGCAAAAATGTTGCATGTGAGCTCCTGAGGAACTTCCAGAAAGACAGCTGGCACGTGCCCTTCACCCTTTCTTTATTCCTTCCTTCACGCTGCTGCCTGGAGTTCGAGTCTAGCCTTCATCTTGGACCACAAAGACAGTGGCACAGCCCAGAGAGGGGGAGTGAAGCCAAAGAAAACTGAGTCCTGCAGATTTGGAGTGGGACACCTATCAGCCCAACACTGTCTGTACACGACCTTGTACAGAATCAGGATAAAACCTCTATTCTGTTTATGCTAATGTTACCTGAGAACTTTCTGTTATGTGCAGCCAAACCTAATTCTAATGGATATATAAGTATTACAATTAACTAGTTATTGGTTTTTAAAAAAAGGTTATGTAAAAGATATTTATAAGAATACAATAAAATCACAGAAGTCAAATCGTAAGCCAAATTACCATTTATGAGACTAAACATATAACGATGTTTTTAAAAGCATATTCAGGGACTTATGCAGTTAATTGTATTGTATCAGGCCCTGTATCAGACTCTAAGGATGCCGTAATGAATAAGCCAGCGCCAGCGCCCTCCGGTATCTCACACCTGGGGAAACTGTAACTCAGTCTGATAGTAGGACTAAGCAGAGGGTGCTCTGGCACACACTCCTGCAGCTGGGGAAAGGGCCACCGAAGGCTTGCTCCTAGCTGAGGTCCCCCTGAGACCTGAAGAACCAATAGGAGTTTGGCAGACCAAGAAGAAGAAAGAAGCAGATGCTGGGCGGTGGGGTCTGCCGGTGCAGAAACTTGGAACAGAGGGAGCATAGACTTCTGGAGGGCTACAGGAAGGGCAATTAAAGATGAGGGTTGTTCATGCAGAACTGGGCTGGAACATGACACAACGGTGCTCTATTACAAGGCATTAGAGAGGCCTAAATCAACGTGGAATGGGGCTTTAAGAGAGTTCCGTTCTAAAGAGTGGAAAAGGAAGTCACCAACAGACTCGTAGCAAGGGCTGGTCAACTTCCCTTTGAACTCAGTTGGGGTTGCAGATAATTAGCCAATGTGCAGCGGCACCAGTGCACACAACTGTGGGCCACCCCCGAGGGACAGAGTGGGTGCTGGGGGAGAGGCTGAGGGAGCGGGGTCTTGGTGAGGTTGAAGAGCAGATGGAATAAAATCAAAGTCATGGGGGATGGAAGGAGGCTGTGGGTGTCGGCTACACATGGGCACACTTCAGACCTGGGCAGTGCTAGGAGATGCCTCTACTGAACGAGGGGGAACAAGGCCTGGGGTTGGAATGGCAGCTCCAGACTGGTGGCCTAGGGGCAGAGCAGAGAGTTTTGCTTGAGAAGAGCTGGGGGAATGCAGACTCCAGCCCAGGTCCAGGAGTGTGTATGCTGAGGGAGGAAGAGGGAGAATTCTTGGAGAAGACTATGGAGGGGTCCCTTCACGCAGGGAGGGGCTGAGGATAAGTCACAGAAAAGTCAGGGCATGGCATTAGGCATGTCGCACAAACAGGTCTCCCAGCCAGGGTCCCACTGTGGGCTTCCAGATTGCTTTCTTTAAAATATTTTTCTGAGATAAAATAGACATAATATAAAAATGTACCATTTTAATCATTTTTTAAATATATATTTATGGATGTCAGGGAGGAAGGGAGAGGAAGAGAGAGATAGAAACATCAATGATGAGAGAGAATCATTGATCGGCTGCCTCTTGCACGCCCACTACTGGGGATCGAGTCTGCAACCCAAAGCAACCCTGGTATGTGCCCTGACCAGAACCGAACCATGACCTTCTGGTTCAAGGTCGATGCTCAACCACTGAGCCATGCTGGCTGGGCGTGTTCCCTTTCTCGGTCTCAACAGGATAAGAACAATCTCTGCTGAGCAAAAATATTATTTAGGTGTCTGTTAACTTAAAGTGCCACCTTCACTTCTTCCGGGGATCTTTAAATTTTAAGGAGCAATTTTAGAACATTTAAAACTTTAAAATACAAAAGAATGAGACTCTAGGGGTGGACTGGCAGAGGGGAGGGTGATATACTCAGGCAGGCGTCACCCCCTCAGCTGACTTCGACCTGATCTTTTCATTCCAAATCCCATCCTCTTTCCACTACACTCGTGTTAGTCGTTACCATCGGCATATCTCTACTGGACCAGCAGTTTATTTTTAATGCCCAATTGGCTTGAAATCACTGCTAAAACCAACAAGTGTAGCAAATGGCAATCTTAAATATGTTCCTTTCAAGTGGTCACCTATTTAGGTTTGATAACACTGAAATAAGGCTGAAATGTACTCACTGTAGATATACTCTTAAGTTAGTTGTTTTAAAAATGTGTCACTATAAACTTAAAAAAAAATTGTTGTTGCTGTTAATCCTCACCTGAGGATATATTTTCCCCTTGCTTTTAGAGAGAGTGGAAGGTAGGAAGGGAGGAAAAGAGGGGGAGAGAAACATTGATGTGAAAGAGACACATTAATTGGTTGCCTTCTGCACACACCCCAACCAGGCCAGGGATGGAACCTGCAACCCACTTACATGCATACATGCCCTGACGGGAGATAGAACCCAAGACCCTTCATTGCATGGGCTGGTGTTCTAACCACTGAGTAACACTGGCCAGGGCAACATTTTTAAATTTTTTTCACCACTCCATAAAGTTTAAATACAATTTTTAAAATTTTTAAAAATTTATTTGAAAGACAGACAGACATTGATTTGTTGTTCTACCTATTTATGCATTCATTGGTTGATTCTTGTATGGGCCCTAAATGGGGGTCAAACCCACAACCGTGGTGTATATGATGCTCTAACCAACTGAGCTACCTAGCCAGGGCAAGATTTTTAAAAAGGTTTAAAACCTGAAAAACAGTTTGCTAAAATGTAAATGTATTTATAGGACTTTTGCCAAATTAGTGTCTAAAATGTTTTCTAAACTCAAAATTATTCTCCAGCATTTACTTTTCCCTTATAATATGTTTATAATAATCATTTGGTGTGTCCTATAGACAGATATGATACATATTATGAAAATACTTTTCTATAGAAACAGTAAATAATTATAATGCATATTTTCTTACTTAAATACTTTAAATACATTACTTGTTTTTACTCACATATAATCCCATGTATGTTTTGCTTATTATACTAAAGAAACAAACTTTCCCTCTCTTCTCTTAAAATTTTTTTATTTCTTACTAAATTCTACTTTCTTCCACTAAAACATAACAAAGTCAACAGAACAGTTGTACAGTAATGAGAAAACCAACAAGGATCTCCTTCAGAGTAGGGCTGAAGGGAAACAATTTGTAGTAGTTAAGATTTATTCCCTTATCCTACCCTCTAAATATTACATCTCTTAACAAAGAATTCTTGTTTAACTTTATTGCAAAGTGTGTGGCAGGGCAGTGTTTAGAAATAGTACAGATCTAAATGCACATACGTTAGTAGTGCTAGCTGTGAGTGAACCCAAAGAAAAAGAGGAATTCAAGTTGTGACACTGACATCTGCTGTAAACAAAGGAAAAACATCAAGAGTATCAGGATTATTCTTTTTTTAAAAAAAAAAAAAAGTCAGTATCAGACTGCTCTTAACATCAATAATTGCTATCCTAAAAGTTACTAATAAACAAGGAACCAGAACTCTGAGCTTAATAGTCTTTCCTCCCACTCCCTGCCTCGATCATAATGAGGGCATTGGTTTCAGCTCAGTTTTGAAGTTTCAGAGTCTTCAGTTTAAAAGGGACATTTCTGCCCACTTGCAGTGAACAGCCAGGCACTGTTCCAGAATTTCACTTCACAATCCACACACGCTATTTTTGCTATTAGACATTTATAGTAATTGTGACAAACACATCATTGGTTTAAGTAAAATTAATTAATTATGTGTGTGTGTGTGTAAACACGTTATTCTTATAGAATAGCTAAGAGAGGAGGAATTCAACACTGAAAAATACAGCAATATAAAATGAATCTATTCGTAGATACCTAGGGGCCACTAGTTACTTTGGCTTTCCTGTGCCCACCAGGGTATGTGCTAAAAGGGTCACTGGTCTACGACCAGTATTGCCAGGACCATCCTGGGAACTGGGAACAATGGCGAGCAGGATGCACCCCCTGCTCGAAGGCTGGGGTGTAACTAACACTCGGGCAGGATGGGAGGCGACCGCGTGTAAGGCTTTGGGTGCCCTGTAGAGGGAGGGATGCAATGGCGCCCCTAATCCTCACTTTGGGTAAATAAATAGACGAGGGAAGGGGAGACCGCCACTTCCGAGGAAAGGAGGAGACAAGACGGGGGAGTGTGGCCGCGCCGGGGAATCTCGGGGTCGTGTAGAGCGACGAAAGAAAGCATTTCAGGTGAATTTGGAACTCGCTCGGGGAGGGGTGCGAGGACTGGCCGGCGGCGGTGGAGAGCCCGCTGGAGAGGAGGCGTAAATGAAAAGGAGATTAGGAGGGCCTTATGCAGCAAACTTAAGGAGATAGGGTTTTACCCGGAGGGCCACCGAGATCCCCTAAAAGATTTAAACGAGAGAAACACCATCTGACTCCCTTTAAAGCTATCTGATTGAAAGATGGAGATGGGGGGAGGGGGCGAGGGGGAGGAGCAAAGCCCCGACGCGGAGAGGTTACCTGGGTGATGGAGGTGGTACCTGCTGGTCGTCCAGGGGGCGACGCTGGTGGCCTGCACGCGAGGAGGAGCCGAGCGCGGCAGGGGCGACCACCTGCGACAGGTTGCACGGAGGAGGACGGATCCGGGGCTTAGTGACTGGAGGATGAAGTGGGGGGGCCCGTGGCCAAGTTGTCGTGATGCCGTTGCTAAAACGGGAAACACGGAAAGTTTGGAGGGAAGGTGTGCAGCTCCGCTGAGTACACACACATCCAGGACGAGCTTTCGGTGACACCCAAGTTACTAGTAAATATGCCCGGACTGCAGGGCAGCGTAGTCTGCGAGCAGGATGAGCTCTGCGAGGGGCCCAGCCGGCCCGGGGTGCACAGGGCAGGCGGCCGGGACAGCTCCCCAGGGGGCCCACCCCGGGCGGGACGGTGCTGGTGTGCCACTTCTCTCCAAATACACACCAAATCACCAAATCATCACGCAGCGTGCTGCGAGGCAGACGGGGGGAGGAGGGGGTTCGCTGCTCTCATGTTGCAGGTGGGAAAATGGGACCTTGGGGTTTGTTCCTGGAGGTGAACCGTGACGTCCAGGCGGCCAGCCAGCACCGCCCCCCCCCCTCCATTCTGCACATGAACGCAATGCACCCGATGGCTGACGTCTACTCCTCTCACATGTTACGCGAAGGAGGAGGTCACAGAAACAGGTTTTCTTTTTCAATGTCTGTGTTCCTTTTTCCCAAACCCCATGAAAAAGAAAATTATGTGATCAACTTTCCATTTTAATAACTATCACTAGAAAGTAAACATATACAACCACTTCCCTTAAAAACACCACCAACAGAAAACGCGGGCAGAGGTGCATTTTAGAATATATCTCTACCCGTAAGTACACACGTTCTTCACGTTCTCTGTGCGGCGCAAACAGTTCTTGGCAGATTCTGGCCTGAAGCTCGTTAGCTCGGCGCGTTCATCCCCGGTTTCCCGACCTCCGGGAGGCGCCTACTCTGCCCTCCCCCGCCGCCCACGCCCCCCCCCCCCGGCACCGCCCCTCCCGCGCCCCCTCCGGCCGCACCACCTGCTCCCGGCGCCTCCCCGCTCTCCCGCTGGCCCGCCCGCCCGCCCGCGCCGGTTCTCACGGCCGCGCTCGCGCCTTGCACTTGGCGGAGCTGCGGAGTCGGAGCCCGCCCGCTGCGCGCCGGCTCTCCGGCCCCGGGGCACTCCGGCTCTTGCCCCCCGCGGCCCCGCGGGGCGCCCCCGACGAAGTTTTCCCTCCCGCACGGCCCCCCGCGATGGCTTGGGAGGCGGGCCCTGGCCGGCCGGCGCTGATTGGCTGCCTCCTGGGCGCCCCGCCCCCTGTGCACGCGCAGGAGGCGGGGCGTCCCGGGACGGGCTCGGGCGCGCGCGGCGCGGCTCCGCGGACGGAGCGTCCGTGACCCGCGTGCCGGCCCCGGTGTCCCTGCCCGGGCGTTCGCGAGGTGGGGGCGAGCGGGCGGCGGCGGCGGCGGGGCGCAGCGGGGTGGAGGCTGGCGGGGCGCTGAAAGCCCCGCTGGCCCGGGCGGCACTCCGCAGCCACGGCCATGCAGGCGCCCCGCGGGGACTGGGAGCCACCCGAGGGGCCGTCGCCGTCGCCAGCCCGGTAGCCCGGATGTCTCTGTCCTCCGCGGCGGGGCCGCCGACGCGCTCCCAGGCCCCGCGAGGAGGCTCGTCTTAAAGGGACAGCGCCGCGTGCAGCCGGAGGGGCGGCGCGTCCTGCCCTTGTGCGCGACCCCTGCCCCCCGGGGCCGCCGCGCGCCGCCGCCGCGAGCCCCCTCCTCCCGGTGGGCGCCGTGGGAGCGGCGCGCCCGGCCGGGGGTGGCCGCAGATGGCTGCCCGGAGGCCAGGTTTTCCTGCGGCCGAGCCGTGGCCGGTGGCGCCGTGCGGGGCCGGGAGGCGCCGGCCTGTGATTGGCCGAGGCCACGGTGAATGCAGGACATTGTCTGTCGCGGCCGTCTCTGTCCTCGCCCGCCGCCCGCCACAGTCAACATGGGTGCGGAGCCGGGCGGCCCCGCGGTGGGGAACAGCGTGGTGGGAAAGCGGAACGTTTACGCGACGACAGATTTAAGAATGGCGCAGAGGTGCCGTTTCCAAACACAGAATCATTACCAACAAGGGAATAAAACCACGGTGCTTGGCATAAAGATCTCCTTCCTTGAAGATTCCATGTACTGCGGTAGTTGAAAAAGGCCAACTGTTACGGCGTAGTTTTGTCTTCAAGATCTCTTTAATTAGGATCTATGATAATTCATCTGAATATTCTTTAAGAATTTTAAGCAAATTATATGTATACATATATATGCAAATATATGAAATAGCCTTGTTCTGGACAGTACAGCCTGTTTGGGTCTTAGTTTCCACATGTGTAAAAAGTCGACCCTGGACTGGTAGCTTTCCACGTTTGCTCAATGTGTTAAAATAACTCGGATTCTGATCCTCGACTTAGAATCCTGATATTTCCTCTGTAAGGGATCCCATCTCAAGACCTGGGAGTAGGCGAGACCTTGTAAGGGCCCTGGAGGACATCACAGTTCTCTGCTTGTCTTTGAAAATATGTGGGAGTTACTTAAGCAGGGCTGTAATCTCTCCAGGTGTAATTTTGGAGTAAAGGAAAATGAGAGCAGTAAAGAAATGTATGGAGATCAATCAGTTATTACTCCACGGTTTGCTTTCATCTTAAATAAGTTTTCCAGGTAATGAAATAGTATAATAAACTATAACCAACTTTCCTATTTTGTTCTTAGTATCAAAGGAATAGAAAATGTCAAAAGAGAGAAGACACGCATGAAATAAAAGATACACACACAAAAAAATTGAAAATGTTTGGAGAGTTTTGAGTAAAATTAAGTTGGTATTTGCCTTTTAAAAAAATTGAAGGGGGGAAATTATTGTAGAATGAAGAGCAGGCTTATGTTGATACAGGTAATATTTTGTAGCTTCAGTTACATGCCCTCTTCAGCATTAAAAAAAAAGTAATTTCATTTAACTGAGCAATCAACAAGAATTAGAGACTTGGAAATGACAAACAAATGAAAGAAGGAAAGCATCCAGAAAAGAAGATAAGTTTAATGGACATGATTTATTGTAGGAGACATGACCTCATTCCTCATTAGAGGGATGGAGGGATTTCCACTAAACCAGATTTGATGTTAAATAAATTTATTATACAGATGATACTAATTTGATTTGTCCCTCTCTTTTTTTGGTATTATAAAGTGAAGAGAAACAAGGAAATTTTTAAAAATACTGTAGCAGCTTCCCCAGGTGACAACTGTTCCCAGGCTCCTCACTCTCACCCATCATAAAAAAGCAGAAGTCAGCGTAAAGAATAGCTCTCTCCAGAAGTGAAACAGGTAGCTGTGTGGATGTCTGCAGTAAATTCAGTTTTGATTATTTAAAATGTTAACATTTAAATTGTTGATTTTTATAATCAAACAAATTTCACTTAAAAGTGATTGAATAAATGATTAAAATTTAAAGGTTAAGCTGAAATTCAGATGTTTGTAATAAACACAAGCACCAGGTAAGATGATACAGTCTATAAGACCGAAAGGTCTTGCCAAATAAGTTTGAGACTCCCAGCAAGTCCTTTCCTTAGGAATCTTGCTTTGGTATTCGATATGTAACCATAGATTAATCTATGTAGAGCGATAATATTTGTGGAACTTGGGATATGCCAAACACCATTCTCAGTTATTGGTCGATGTGAAGAGCAGGGTTTTCTTTCATCTTAAAGAAGTTTTCTAGGTGATGAAATAGTATAATAAAGAATAACCAACTTTCTTCTTGGATCCTCACAAAAATCCTAGGGGGCAGGTACAATTATCCCCATTTTATTTATTTATTTTTTAAAATATATTTTATTGATTTCTTACAGAGAGGAAAGGAGAGGGATAGAAAGTTAGAAACATCAATCAGCTGCCTCCTGCACACCCCCTACTGGGGATGTGCCTGCAACCAAGGTACATGCCCTTGACTGGAATCGAACCTGGGACCCTTGAGTCCACAGGCCGATGCTCTATCCACTGAGCCAAACCTGTTAGGGCCAATTATCCCCATTTTAGAAGCATGGAAACTGAAGTTCTAGAAGTTAGGTAGCTTGCCCAAGGTCTGACAGTTGGTGGGTATAGAGCCAGGAATGGGGCCTAAAATCCTTTTTGACTCAACTCAAAACCGTGTGGCTATGTGTTCTCAACCACTCACTAACTAAACTTACTTATTTTTATGGTTATGATGATTAACCCATTTTTGGCCAGATCTTTTTGACAGTTATGCATTTGAATATTTTTGCTATAGCCCTTTCATTCATGTCTGTCGGGTGACCATGTGGATGCAAGATTGCCATCTGTGTTTATTTTGCTATAGAAAGTCAAGCATCCCTATCACCTGTTTTTTTAAAGAAGCACCTGGCTTTCCCACCATCTTGGACTCTGTGGAGGCCTGCTGGGAATGGGTCTCCGGAACCAGAGGGAGCACACAGCTCTTCTTAAAACTGAAGGTGTTTACGCTCGAGATGAAACAGAATTCTGTCTAAGCAAGAGATGTGCTTATGTGAACAAAGCAAAGAACACCATAGTGACTCCTGGTGGCAAACCAAACAAAACCAGAGTCATCTGGGGAAGGAAACAGTGGCATGGTTCGTGCTAAATTCCGAAGCAACCTTCCTGCTAAGGCTAGGGGACACAGAATCCGTGTAATGTTGTACCCCTCAAGGGTTTAAACTTAACTGAAAATAAATAAAATGGATTTGTTAGATAAATAAATAAATAAGAAGCATCTCTCAAATTTGCATCTACTGTTCTTTTTTAAACATGGTATGTACATGGACAGAAGCACAAGGCTAAGTCCTCACCTTCTGCTTTTCTGTCTTTTTCTCTTTTCTTCTTTCAGATGTATCACTTCATAGGACCCCCGTAATACCTATTGGCCGTGTTTACTGCCTCTAATTGGTGTCAGGCCCGGAAGAGGTACTGGTGCAGTCAGCCATTCAGTTATTGGCCAAATACTTACAAGTTGCCCAGTCCTTCAGACGGTGGAGAGGGGTGAGGAGTCATGAGCGTAAGACAGGGATTTGGGGGTTCAGTAGCAAAAAACTGAGACAAAGGGCTGTGCCTTCAGGGGAAAAATATTATATAATTTGCCTTTCTTTTTCACTCTGTACCTGTGGCTGAGAAGTGGCACACCTTCAATGACAATCAAGGGTAAAGGGTTGCTGCCCCTCCCATTTACCTTGGTCTTTTTTGGCATTGGTTCCACAGCCAGTGGCCATGAGGGTGGTCTTCTATAGCTCTGACAAAGGTGGGGGGCTGACGGTAGTCAGTCTGAAATCAGTCCCCGTCATTGCTTGTTCACAGTGCCTGTTAAGAACCAGAAATAAAATTATTCTGAAGGGGATCATATGTGACTCATTAATCCATGTGATTGCTGATGCTCATTATCACTGAAAATTGAGTCGGCTAAGTCTGTTTAACTTTTGTGATTAAGGATTGGCGTCAGGATTTGATGTTCTGGCGGCCCAGAAGGATAAAAGGATTGCATTCAGCCGTCCTCCCACTCCCACCCGCACCGGGAGCTAGCACTTAGCGCTTTGTCCTTGGCCAGCAAGCAGCTCACCTCCATCCGTGAAACACTGGCAGGCAAGCCACACAGCTGCATGGAGCATAGGACAGTATCAGGCAACCCTGACCCACCGAGTCCCACTGCCATCAGGGGGTGACAGGCGAGGCTGCAGCAGGTCTTAACACCCAGAGAGGCAGGCCCAACTACAGACCGCTGCCAGCCCTCTTATTAGCTAGTGACTGCCTTTTCATCTTATTTTTACAAAATTCCATAACTGAGCTCTTATCACTTAATATTTCTCAAATCCAAATATTAAAGCATCTTCTAAATGTGTAAAAATATTTTCAGTCAGATCTTTTTTCTTGTTTGTTTCATTTATCTTTGTTCTAGGACTTACTAGCACTCAACCGGTGGCCACTCTCTCTTCCTGGGCCCCAGGACACAACCAGATTCTGGTCATGCCGTCTTCTCTCTTCAACTCCTCAGCCTCAGCGTGCTGATGGCTTCCCACCGTTGCTGTCATGCCTTACCTTTCACTCTGCCCACACTTCTTAACAGGCTTTTCAAAAAGCCCCGATGAATGTGACTTTCTTTCATCTTCTGATCATGTCTGCCTCAGACTCCATCATGATCTGGCGCTTACCCACACCTCGAGTTTGAATGGCGGCCTTTCCCTTCTTCATCCTTTTTCTCTCACGCAGCAAATTCCTCTACTCCTACACTTTGACCCTCGAGTATGCTGTTCTTTCTGTCGGGAATATTCTGTGAGGACGTCCTTGGGCCCCTTCCCCATGGGCTGTGTCTGTAACTTCATTTACCACATTGTATTTGAAACACTGCTTTGCCCTTTCAAACCTAGAATTTCCTTGAGATCAAAGATCATGTGTTACCCATGAAAGGACTAATGTAAAAATATTTAAATATGTAACTGTCAAAAAAATCTGATCAAAAATGGATTAATGATCAGCCCTGGCCGGTTTGGCTCAGTCGGCCTGCAGACTGAGGGGTCCCAGGTTGGATTCCGGTCAAGGGCATTTACCTTGGTTGCAGGCTCATCCCCAGTCGGGGGTGTGCAGGAGGCAGCTGATCAATGTTTCTCTCTCTTCGATGTTTCTAACTCTCTATCCCTCTCCCTTCCTCTCTGTAAAAAATAAATAAAAATATGTTTTAAAAAAATAGATTAATGATATCTATAGAAATAAGTAAGTCTGTTTAGTGAGAACACATGGCCACATGGCTTTGAGCAGAGTCAGACACAACCTTGGTGCTTAGGACAGTGCTGAACACATGGAAAAACATCATGAAATAATAGCTAAATATTTATTTATTTATTTATTTATTTAGGAGAGAGGAAGGGAGAGATAAAAATGTCAATGATGTGAATCGTTGCTTGGCTGCCTCTTGCACACCCCCTACTGGGAAACAAGCCCAAAACATGGGCATGTGCCCTGACTGGGAATTGAACCAGCCACCTCCTGGTGCATGGGACAGTGCTCCACCAACTGAGCCACACCAGCTGGGATAAATAATTTCAAAATGCTCTGTTCCCTCTATTGATTCTTTTTCTAGATCAGCTTTCTAGTTTTTCAAAATGTAATGGATTCAAAATTGAAGTTTCACTTATTTCAATCTCGTCAGTGTTTACATCGATAAAATTATATCTTTAATTAATATTGACTATTAACATGATAGCATGCTTTTACCAATAAAAGTTGAGTAAATTAATAATTTGCTCAAAAGTGAGTGAATTAATATTTTTGCTTCAAATGGTTAAAATCTAAGGTAATTTGGTTTCTTTTATTGCTGGTGAAGCTGTGTGTGTGTGTGTGTGTGTGTGTGTGTGTGTGTGTGTGTGTAGCAAATAATCAATTTCAAAATATTACTTCCCTTACATCAGAGTTGGCTTAGGAAAAGTAGTTCTATGTTGTACTGTACTCCATAATAAGTAGATTTAACTGGGAAGTGTCATTTTATGGTCTTCTGCCTGTAAATATAAAAACAAAGACAACACTGTAGCAGGCATCTTTTCCCCAGCAGCTCCTCCGCCTGTGTTTCGGGCGGGTAGAGAAGGGGGAGGACAAGCTCGCTGGCCTCCCTGGCGTTCCTGGAGCTCTAGCAGAGACGTCTTCTGTAATTGGTTTTCCACATTTGCCAGGAGTCTGTTTCCTCTTAACATTCAACATGTTTAACAGAAGTCTTGTAATAGTTCCAAAAACAATAAAACTGGTCCCAAGCATAAAAATGATACCTACACAGCACATTGGTTTTCCGTCGTGGCTTTGGTTTTGTTAAGTTCTTTTAAATAATTTTTAGTGTCAAATCATGTGATAGAAATAAAAAGTTTTTCTTCACAGTAATAAAAGCCACTGAAGAAATGCAGGCAATGACCTGTGCGGAGGGTGAGAATTACCTGCACAGAGGCCAGCCCAGGACAGGGTAAGTGGGAGGTTGGGCTAACTTCAGTGCTGTATCCTCAGAAGGACAAAAGCTCATTCGGGGCATAGGCTTCTGATAGAGTGTCTGTAAGGCTGTTCTTAATCGGATGAAACCCACTTCTCACATTGTCAAACATTAACATGAAAAGGCATGTTCTTTGTTATGGGGTGGGGCCACAACATTAGTAACAAAGAAACAGAATTTCCGGAGGATGAGGCCCAGAAATCAGGATTTCTAAAAGATTCCCAGGTGATTCTAATGTGCAGCCAAGGTTGAGAACCACTGTGTCTAGCGGCTAGACTCTAGCCCCTTGCCATCTTAAAGAAGAGCCTTGCCTGGCTGGTGTGGCTCTGTGGTTGAGGATCAACCTATGAACCAGGAGGTCATGATTCGATTCCTGGTCAGAGCACATGCCAGACTGTGGGCTCAATTCCCAGTGCGGGGCATGCAGGAGACAGCCAATCAGTGATTCTCTTTCATCATTGATGTTTCTATCTCTCCCTCTCCCTTTCTCTCTGAAATCAATAAAAATGTGTTTTTTGTGTTTTTTTTTTTTCAAAAGAAGACCCTTTAACATTTTTTGTAATACTGGTTTGGTGGTAATGAACTCCTTTAGATCTTTCTTTTCTGGGAAACTCTTTATCTGTCCTTCTATTCTAAATGATAGCTTTGCTGGGTAGAGCAGTCTTGGTTGTAGGTCCTTGCTATTCACCACTTTGGATATTTCTTGCCACTCCTGGCCTGCAAAGTTTCTATTGAGAAATCAGCTGACAGTCATATGGGTGCTCCCTTGTAGGTAACTAACTATTTTAAGATTCTCTCTTTGTCTTTAACCTTTGGTATTTTAATTATGATGTGTCCTGGTGTGAGTCTCTTTGGGTTCATCTTGTTTGGGACTCCCTGTGCTTCTTGACGTGCATGTCTATTTTCTTCACTAGGTTAGGAAGTTTTCCATCATTATTTTTTCACATAGGTTTTCTTTTCTTTCTTTCTTTTTTTAATTGAATTCATTGGTGTGATATTGGTTAATGCAATTATATAGATTTCAAGGATATAATTCTATAATACAGTATCTGTATATTGTATTGTGTGTTCACTACCCCATAGGTTTCCAATTCTTTGCTCTCTCTCCTCCTTCCAGCACCCCCATAATGCAAATGTTGGAACACTTGAAGTTATCCCAGAGGTTCCTTAAACTATCCTCATTTTTTAAAATTCTTTTTTCTTTTTCCTATCCTGGTTGGGTATTTTCTGCTTCCTTATCTTCCAAATCTTTGATTTGATCCTCTGCTTCATCTACTTCACTGCAGATTCCCTGTAATGTATTCTTCATTTCAGTTAGTGTATTATTCATTTCTGACTGGTTCTTTTTATGTTTCTCATCTCTTTGTTGAAGTTCTAAGTTCACTGAGCATACTTATAACCATTGTTTTGAACTCTGCATCTAGCAGATTGTCTCCATTTTGTTTAGCTCTTTTTCTGGAATTTTGTTCTTTTTTTTTTTTAGATATGTTTCTTTGTCTCTTCATTTTGGCTGCCTCCCTGTGTTTGTGTCCAAGTATTAGGTAGAGCTGCTATGTCCCCCGGCTTTGTAGAGTGGCCTTATGTAGTAGGTTCCTGTAGGATCCAGTGACACAGCCTCCCCAATCAGCAGAGCTCAGCACTCCACGTGAGCTGTACCCCCATGTGACCTGTGTACACTCTCCTGTTGTAGTTGAGCCTTGATTGCTGTCGGCACCTGAATGCGAGGGATTTACCCCCCAAGTTGATTGGCTGCACAGACTGGCTGCAACCACTGTGGAGAATCAGCTTGCAGGGGCTGACCCCATGGAATAGTACTTACTTCAGCAGGGCTCTGATGCCTGCTGTGTCTGCCATTTGGGTGGGTCCCTTGTAGAGGAGATTGGGTGGTGCTTCAATATGGTCTGATCCTGTCCATTGGGTGCACTTCCTGGAGCCAAATGGAATGAGCTACAGTGTAATCTGCAGATGGCTGTTACTTGTGCTGGGCTTGGAGGTGCCCAGGGGAGGCCAACCTATGAACCAAGGCTCTATGCCACTAGTGCCAGGCCTGGGGTCACTTAGTGAGAGGTATGGGGAACAGCAAGGGCAGATGCTGCTTGTTTGAGGGATTTTAGAAAAATCTGAAGCATGAGCAAAGACAGGACAGTCATATGAAAAAAATACTGGAAATAGCTTGGGTGGGCCTGCAAGTTGGGTGTGCCAGAGTCTTGGGGAATTACTAGAGCAGGGAAAATAGTGTGAGTCAGCTTG